ATGCCCAACCGGTCATACGGATCTTTCCATCATGAACAATGACGTCCTTGTCGACAGGCGTCATGATTGCGCTGGCAACAGGCATAGTTTGGATGCTGAAACCGTTACTGTACGTGACGTTCTGCTTGCCGTTCTGTGGGGTGTAGTATAGGTACTCCTTCATCTGCACAGGAGCCATGGAAGGTGCATCGATGACATTGATGCGGGTTAGCCATTTGCAGCTCCTGGCACCGATGTAGCCCATCACGACAACGCGAAGTGGGAAACCATGGATGGCAGGCAGTGGCTCCCCGTTCATCTCCCAAGCGAGCATAACTTCGTTGACCTTCACCTTGCGAGTCGGCACCGAGACAGCGTAATTGTACACCTGGCCCTTCTTGAAGTAGGTATCGGCGCCAAAGAACTCCACGTGCTTTCCTTCCGGCTTCAGCCCACAGTACTTGAGAACCTTCTTGAGACTGACGCCTACGTAACGGGCAGTTCCGATGGCGCCTTCTCCCCAAGGCGCGTTGATGAGTTCATCTCCGTCTCCTGGGTAGTCGTGAATTTGTTCGATACGCCGGGTACCACTGCACTGCAGAGTAACGCAAGTCTCCATACGCGGGAACTTGCTCTCATCTTGAAGCTCTTTCAAGGTGATCTTCTTTGGCGTGTTGACGAGACCTTCAACCTCAAAGAAGTACTTCTCTGGATCAATCTCAGGAACACCTCCATGGTTCCGAATAAAGTGGTCTTTGTTGGGAGTAATCTCATTCTCGACCAGGCGCTTTCGTTGCGGCTCTCCGTTGTAAGGGAATTGCAGGACATGAATCATGTCATCGCTCTTCTCTTTCTTGACGTACTCCCATGAAATGGCTGGAAGATCCCTGGTCGTTTTACCCAAAGCGTAGTGGTAGTATTTCCATCGCACGCCCTCTAAGACTGGATTGGTGTCGGGTAACGGCTTCATCTGGAATTCGGGAGGTACAGGAAAGTCATATTTCGCTAGAATTTCTGCCGCCTTCTTCTTTTTTTCTGGGTATCGCTCCCACTCGATATATCCTTTCCATCCTTCTCGCTCTTCCGGGAAATCCGGCTCTTCAGTGGTCAAAAGCTCAAAAGGCTTTGCGTTTGGTTCGGCGGGCGCCATGATTAGGGTATGGAGTTGGAGGATTTCGATTTAGGATGAAGTTTGGGATACGACCCTTTACAAATGAAGGTAAGTCCCGCACTGTGGGTTGATAACGCCAGTACCTGTGCGACATGTCATGACCTCAAGGTGACTGATTCTTAATCATGGGCTATACTACCCTACCACGATGCGTGCTGCAGGCAACCCCTGTACGCATGTGATTTACCCAGATCCACGAATGGAAATGCCGCAAGCTCCGCAGAAGCGACAAGCAGAGATACACTACTACGTCATCATGATGGATATCAAAGAGCTGTCAGAAAACCCTGGAGGGTACAACGCGTCTAGAACCAATAGTCGTTAAGTCCGAAATCCGAGAAAGGGCAAAAGCCGGAGAAAGTTATGGATACGACACGCCCCGCATGAAATTGATGATTAAGAATGCCAAAGAAGCTTGAGCAGACTGCTTGTTGGCACTCAATGGCACCCATCAAGTCTAAGCGCTCGTGGCCTCAACCAGCTGTTGTTCGTGATGAGTAGCTGATTACATGCAGGCCGTATGCAAGATGTCTGAACAGCCTTGGCTTACACGCGTCGCCGATGATCCTCGGAGGTTTTGAGGGAAATTTCTAACGAACCAGGGATGAGGCATAAGCTCGGCCATATACTTTTCGGCCACATATACTTCTCGGCCACCCAATCAAAGCAGCCACACAATACAAAGTCGCGATTTTGGTCAACAACAACGATTATATTTGCCACTCAGTACACATAGAGTTGAGAGTACGTGCTGCTGCTGCTTCTGCTGCTTTTTGAGCCTTATTCTCTGGTGAAGTGCTTGCCTGTTGAGCCTGTTGAGCTGCTGCTCGGTCAATAGCAGCCTTAATACTCTCAACGTTACTAAACCTCTAATTTGGATTAACTTGAACTCGCTTTCTTACGCGTGTGACTGTAGTACTATGTAGTTGATATTTAAGTCGTTGATTTTCAGCCTCAAGCTGAGCTGCCCTAGTATTGGCTTCTGTAATAGCCTTACCTGCCTTGCCAAGCACAAGCCGGGTGCTTCGTGAGAGGGATTCTGACAACTCTAGCTGTTTTTGAGCCTTATATAAGGCTTGTGAGCTCCGAGGTGTAGTGAATATTAACTCTAGGGTAGCTGACGCCTGGCTAGTAGGTGGAGGAGTAACTGGTCGGCCAGTTACTTGGGATGATAGCAGTACAAGGCCTGGGTTGTATGGGCAGAGACCAGAAGCCCTCCAACCAGCTCGTATTACACGATCTGACAGAGCTTCTTCTCTTGCCTTGTTGTATGACACAACAAAGCGCTCCTTCTTAATAGGTGCTGCGTTATCAAGGGCAGAGAGAGCTTGGATCTCATTACGGTACCTGCTCTTGAGTACTGAGAAAGGAGCAAGATCCAGCGGCTGAAGCAGGTGTGAGGCGTGAGGCGGAAGGTATAGGAGGTGGATCTTGTTCACCTTGCAGAGCCACATGAAGTCGATCGGTATATGGGAGCCATGGCCATCGAGTACAAGTAGACGATAGCCGCTAGAGGATGGTGAAGTGTTTGGTATAAAGATACGCCGCAACCATTCATATCCAATTAAGTTTGATGTCCATCCATTCTCTAACGTTGTGTAGAGCCAATCAGGTGTGCCTTGTGCGGGCAACCACGTTGATTGTAGATGTTTGCCCTTAAAGATAACTAGGCATTGAAGTTTAACGCCGACGGCTGAGATGGTCTCAATAATTGATACCCACTCACGATTCTCTGGAGATTTGATATAAGCCTTCTTCTTTGAAGAACTGGCAACCACTTGGGAGTTCGTACATACCCCTAGTGCAACTCCAGTCTCATCCATATTCCATATATCCTCATACTGTATGCCTAGCTCTATTCGAGTACGCTCAAACAGCTCAAGAAATGCTCGAATAGTCTCATAGCTAGCTGCCGTAGTCCGTGCGCTCTCGATCGTTCGGCCGACTATAGAGGCGACGCGTGGGTTGCGGGCGATGAAATGGGGTATCCATAGTTGCCCGAGAGGCTCGTGGTCGCCGTTCATGCGGAGGAGCCGGGTGGCCATTTCTCGTACGCGTGGATGGGAGGGAGGTTGTGCGCGTGAGTCCTCATCGAGTATCCAGTCTACTAGAAAGGCCTCTTGTTCTGGAGTTAATCGCTGCTGCTGTTGATGAGCTATCGCGTGTGGTTGGCGGCCCTTCATGCGCTCTTGAAGCGACGATCGGGGAACTCCGTACGCCTGCGCGGCCTGTCGCTGGCTTCTAAAAATACCAGCATTAAGATCGCGAATAGCATTATTAAAAGCAACTTCTCGGGGATCCATGTTGAGTGTGTGGCGTTGACAGTATAGAGCGCCAAATTCAGAGTAACGCGTTGTGGTGGGGTGGCCGAGAAGTATATGTGGCCGAAAAGTATATGGCCGAGCTTATAACAGACAAAACCGGGAAGCAACGCGATGACCGTTGGTGTTGCAGAGCGTGCGAGGGGCCAGTTTGGTGAAAATACGCGGCAGTTGTTTCCGCACGTGTCGCCTCGGCGAGTTGCATGGCAAGCTAACCGCGTATGACCTGGCGCTTCCAACCCCCCGAGGTCCTCCGCGTCGCAGCACACCACGACTGTGGACTGAATGTACATTGTTCACCATACTTCTGCAGCCGAGATGGCATATCATAAGTTCACGATACCGCGTTCCGATCTCATAGCGCCTAGTATCGAGATGTACCAGCTCGCATAATGGTGCGTGTAACCTAGACGTTGAAGTGGAGTGCATCCATCCAGGATAACGAGTTGATGCCGCCTCAGCTCTAGACAATGCGCCACCTTCTTTCTACAATTGAATAAGAGATGGACCACCCATGCTATGCCAATCTTCGCAGCACGAGTTCGTCAGAATATGGCACAGGGCTGCAGAACGAGAGGACCATTGATTGTCACACCTTCGTCCTCAAGAAGCAGACTTGTCGAATACCATCGCATATCGCGTTAACTCCCAAGAAACTGTCGCAGGAAACATCCATTCCAAGCACCGGAGACATGTGATTCGACAAAATACTCGGATATGAAGACGTTTTCCACGCGGCAACGCCACCAAGGGCCGCCCTTAGGTATAGATACGGCCCATGTCCTTCAATCCCGAATTTTGGCGGCATTGCCTAGACGGATAGTGACCCCGAGCACATCTATTAGGACAGCCATGATATCACTCACATGCTTAGCTATATTTTTGATGCGAAAAACCCAACGAATATGCTCGAACTTATGGGGTTTGTTCATTTTGGGTCGAACAGGTCTGAGCTGTTAAGGAGGAGTTCAAGGGATCATCTGATCTACTAAACGACCGGTATCATCTGTACGCTAAACGGAAGTCAGTATGTCGCATCGAACGAACATAAGGACCATACATACGTATTCTGGAGATAGCACCCTGGAGATGCATCCAATAGCCATTTCTGCCCGAGATGCCTGCGTCACGGAGGCACAGTTGTGATTCACATTCATCGAATAACGAACCAGCACTTTGATAGCATCTGACTCGACGGCGGATGGATAGCGAAGGATCCGCGGCAGATTCGTGGAAAGCAGATCATCATGGATATAGAAAGCCCATCGTGTACGTCTGATTATAGGAGGTGTTGCTTTGGCCAGTTTAGCAATCGACTCCCGTCTATCTGCCTTTGAAGGTCCAGATTCCGTTGGTTTGGATACCTATCACGTTTGCTTTCACAGTCATTCAATACCGTCACCCCTCCTACTATATAGCTCAGGGTTTCCTCCCTCTCACATAGAACAATCACATCACTCTCTTCTTATTCTACAGACTCTTCCTAAGTGATAACAGTCGACATGGTGAAGAACATGCAGACTACGCTGATGCAGAAAGCAAGAGCGTCCGGCTCCATTGATACGTTCGAGCTGACATGTCTACTCTGGGGAAAGTATGTTCGATACACAAGGTCTTTGCTGTCTCTTTACTAATCCTCTTGCCAGCGAACGTATTGTTGAGGAGCGGCGAGCTGCTTTCAAGCGTGTTGAGAAAGCACTCGGCATTTACGATAGTACGAAACTTCCGCGATGCTACTCAGAAACCTCACGCGAGGATCTGTTTGAGCAAGGTCTCGGGATGGGAAAAGCATATCTTGATGATATGCTCGAGCATAACCATGAACACTTTGTATGGGTCACTCCTCGATACAACCTCGTAAATGCAAGGTAGTTCAAACCATGAATAGCACTAGGTTGTCAAACTAACGGCTGATAGTCCCTTCGGTCACAAAGCTGTTCTGTTTGAGCCTGCAATGGAATACAACGGCACAGAAGAACAAAAGGCACGGTGGCTTCCGCTGGCTCGATCCGGCAGGATACTCGGTACATATTCGCAAACTGAACTTGGCCATGGTTCTTTCGTGCGAGGCATCGAAACCACTGCGACCTTCGACCCTGATAGCGATGAGTTCGTCGTTCATTCGCCAACAATTTCATCAACGAAGTTTTGGCCTGCTGGACTGGGCTTCTCGACCACACACGACGCAGTCATGGCAAGACTTATTGCCGGTGGTCAGGATCAGGGTCCGCATGTCTTCCTTGTGCAACTTTGATCGATGGAGGATGGCAAGCCAATGCCTGGTATCAAAATGGGTGACGTTGGCTTGAAGCTCGGGTAAGTAACCTGATCGTATGAGATGACAAGCGCTGCGAATCTAACAACATAGCAGCTACAATGAAGCAGAAAATGGCTTCGCCTCTTTTGACCAAGTTCGCATACCTCGATCGCAGATGCTCATAGCGCACAGTCAGCTCGCACGCGAGGGCACATTCACTAAAGACCCCCTTCGCGCCAAGCTCTCATACTCGGTCATGCTGCTTGTTCGGGGCAGGATGCCTGGTATCTTTACCGTACAACTAGCGCAAGCATTGACGATTGCGACACGATATTCCGTTGTGCGACAACAGGGTCTTGGTCCTGCCGATGCGCTGAACACCGAAGCGAGCATTTTCCAGTACAAGCACCAACATTTCCGTCTTATGAGCATGATAGCTAAGACGTATGCAATGTTTTTTGGTTCGCGGATCTGCGATGACCAGTACGACGAACTCCGTGAGATGCAGAGCAAGAACGACCATTCTCTCTTGCCATCTGTTCACGCACTGACTGCGGGTATGAAGGCATACGTTACGTCAGAGGCTGCCGACAGTGCTGAAGACGCGCGCAAACTATGTGGTGGCCATGGATATATGTCTATATCCGGCCTCCCGGATATCGTCGGTGCTCTCACAGGCGGTGCGACGTTTGAGGGCGAGAATTATGTTCTCTGGCAGCAGGTTGGACGACACCTACTGAAGCAACTCGACCGTTTACAAGATGGCGAGCCAATCGAGCCGCAGGTGCAATACCTGGCTGATGTTGAAGATCCCAACATTGTATGCAGCGCATTCGGAACGCAGTTTCTCGATCCAGAAGTACAGCTTACAATCTACCGCGACCGAGCACATCGTCTGGTCGTCAAAGCACATTCAGCTATCCGAGCTTCCAGCAAGTTGCCTGCGGATGCATGGAATGAGCATATGATGCTGCTGATCTCCGCCTCACGAGCTCACACTGAGTACTTCATTCTTAGATCCTTCATTGACACTATCTCAAGTCTTCCTGATACCACATCGTCCAGCCTTCGCACTGTACTGAACCGAACGCGCTCGCTCTTCGCCCTCTCCACCATTATAAACCCACGAACAGTCGACGCCCTGTCTTTTGTCGAGACAGCCTATGCGGATTCTCCACATCTCACAACGACGCAACTCGATCTCATCCGCTCACTAGTCAACGGCTTGCTCGATCAGCTTCTGCCGGAAGCAATCGCATTGACAGACGCATGGGACTTCTCTGACGCAAGTCTTTGCAGCGCATTGGGTATGTATGACGGCAACGTGTACGAGAATATCATGCGCTGGGTCGAACAGCTGCCTATCAATCAGAAGGCGTGGCAGAAAGGTGGTGTACAAGAGGGGTGGGAGAAGTGGGTTGACCCCATCCTGAAGAGAGAGATAGCGAAGTTGTAAGGGAAAATGACTTGAACATGCCATTTACATGATCATGAGATATATGTTGATCATCTTGTCAAACCACGATGAGACTCGTCAGTAGATGTACATGTCGAATACAGTCGTTAGATCGTTCGGTTGAGCCGTTCCCTCATCCCACTACAGACCTGGGTATTGTGCTTTTTTAGACAACCCATCGGCGAACCCAAAGCTTCTTTCACCGTGAATAACAGTCTTACTGGCAGATCGTGTCGACGTTGCTCGGAAGCTGTGTGCCACACTCACCTGCATCGTGAGTTCTCTCACTGAAGCCATCGAGGTGTTCAACTTCTACTTCCCCCTTCGTTTTCTTAACACTCTACCGTTGCTCGCCACATCGTTCTCCGCACTCCCACTGTTTTCGTCTTGCTCAGTCATCTCGCTACCACCACGCTCCCTTTCTTTGATCCTCAGTACCTTGATTCTCCACACCCGTTGCTCCATCTTCAATCTCAACTCTTCCATTTCCTTTCTCTCCGCGACCGTCGCATTCTCCGGTATTCCAGGTAAATTCTCCAATTCCAATTCCACGTCCTCTCCATCGTTCATAATGACATCCTGTCCAGTATGAACAGGTGAGTCTTCCGCACCCGAAACAGGCATGTCCTCTGTGTTCTTCATGGCCACATCTTCCTTGTTGCCCGTAAACGAATCTTCTACGTCTCCTCCACCAACATTCGAAGGTACTTTGACCTCTCTACGAACGGTTGGAGTGTCAAGACTATCGTCTAGATCCGGGACATCAACAGCAGTATCATCTATCTCCATCTGCCAATGCGGCTCTCTGACTCTTTGTTGTTGGAGTCTCGATAACCGCTTCTTCCTTTTTCTTCCTCCCAAATCCATCCCATCACCATCAAGATCCGAAAGAAAACCAGTATCATCTGGTGCCCGAGGATCTGGGTCTTGGTGGATCTGACTTGGGAGTTCTGCTGCAAGAGTATCTGACACTGGTTCTTCATCTGCTTTTCGTCGTTTACCTCTCGTTGCTGGTTGTGGCCGTGTAGGCTTTTTTGCAGCAGATGCTTCGGGATTCAAGTCTACCTTGACGGGTTTGACGCCGTTAAGGTATTGGTATTTTCCGCCGGCGAGGGGTTCGGAAGATCCTTCTTCTTCTTCATCCTCGTCCTCATCTTCCTGATTTATTGGTGTTTTGGGAATCTGAATGCTTGCTCGATGAGCAGTGCGGTTGACAGGCTTCTCTTGTGAACTCGGTCCAGGGTGCGCCGTATCAGCGCTTGTCTTCTCAGCCTCACTTCTATATTCTTCCAAAACGGTTTTCAAATCCACTTCCTTGCTGCCAATAGCAGAGCTATCCTTCTCTTTGCGTATCTGTATGGTTTTCCTCAATCTCTTCTTAAAGTCCGGATGGGTAGTGTTGGGTGTTGATGCAATTGAACTCAATAGTCCCATGAATTCATTACTCCATTCCCTCCACTCCTGGTTGTGGTTGGGACATAGAGTCTTCGGTAAACATTTATCGAAAGATGTAATGTCCCAATTAAGCATGATGGTTTGAACGTCCTCGTAGAGTTGCTTCCTTCTTCGTGGTGCCATTATTGCGTTCAAAAGCGGAAGCCTTTGGAGATGTGCTCGGTATTATCGAATTAACGAGCAGCGGGCCCGGGAAATGTGAGATGAATGAGATGGGTCTTGCGATGATAGGGCGCGTAGAAGCAGCATCGTGGTCTTGTGTCACAATAGCAGAAAGGACGGCAAGTTGCAGTAATTCGAGGTAGAAGGGCGGTCAATGCGTTCTCGTCAGCCACTCTGACTAGTAGGGGCTAGGCTCAATCTGCAGCTATAGCTGACTACCTTGAGCGGCTTCTCCACGCGTATGCCCTAGCGCTTGAGGCATTGGAAATGTCTCAAGAGCCGCAGAATGCCGCCAGCCTGGGGAAACTCGAGATTTTGTTTGCTGATGGGTGGGCCTGATGATGTCATTGAGTCATTTTAGTCTGGATCTGAGTTTGAACTATTGCGGTAAGCTCGGATTCAATAGAGTAGATGCGCAATAGCTGATGAACATTGAGATGTGTCGTATCTTCTGAATTCCGCACACTCATGTTTTCTTCTAGAGACGCCTCCAGATGTTGTACAAGTCGTGTCGCGTGTATGATACAGATATAGCACAAAGCTGAGGAGAGTGTGAACGCCGCCCGCTGCCGAAACCTGCCTGCGGTATATGCCAAACATCCCAAAAACACCGCTTGCCCAGACATGCTGCTGCCCATCCCTGGCGTTATAGCGGTTCGCTCCGAACAGGTATAAGTCGTGAATCGAAAGTGTTTTACGCGGCCACAGCCATGCCGCCGCCGCCAGATCCTGCACCGACATCGCTCGGTGGTGGTGGGGGTGCATCGAGCCTTGTGTTGTCGGCCATCATGCGGTTGAAGCCAATTGATACGCCCTCAATAACAGCCAGCAAGATAGCACAGGATATCGCTCCGTTTCGCATCGACCTGTAGCCTCCTCGTACTGCGAGCGATCCGCCGGTGAAGAATCCTGCGATGATGGCATTCCATGGGTCTTCCTTCTTCCGTATTCCCTTGACTGCGCAGTCGTATGTGTTGAAAAGTCCTCCCCAAACACCGAAGTTGCCGCCGAGAACGGGGGCGCGGGCCTTGATGGCTGTGATGGCACCGATGCGTCGCTCGCCGTAGGGTGAATTACGGAACTGCAGGCTTGTAAGCGCACTTCTTCAAGACACCGAGACCATACTTACGCCTTTTACGCCGTGCCATACTGCTCCTCCAACAGCCTAGCCCACAGTTAGTAATGGGTTGAAGACACTGCGCCTGAGGGGACATACGCCCATGGCAAAGGCACCACCAAAGTCATTGAGAATGACCCAGGGACAAGGATCGCGCGAATGATCCATCATGTATTATTAAGGTGAGAGATGTGTTTTGGGCGGTTCCGAGGGCGACGGTAGGGTGGTGTGGGCGAGCTTGTGGTCGGACGATAGCCACCGGTGACGATGCGCTTCGATGGAATTTCTTGAGGACCCTTGCTCCTTTGGCGCTAGCGGCGAATCTTCGGGGCCGCTGCAACCATCGTCTGCCATCAAACCTCCTGGCATGCCTCATCCTTCACCATCCGAATCACCGTGCAATGCCCGGTCTTTGTCGACTTGTGTCTGCATACTGTCTTATGTATGACTACCTATCTGTAGCAGAAATGTCGAAGGATGCAGCTATAACTTACCCGTTGGAGCGATGGGCATCGCACGCGGCTGTTATATGCGGAATGAACAACGATTTTAACTACAAAGACGCCTCGAGACTTGGTCCAGCTGTTCGAGATATTAGATGATCATTTTGTGAGTATTCAGCGCTGGTGACAACAGTGTAAGATGCGGCTGACGAATCTTTCTCTTTTCTACTTCTCTTGTGCAATGCATCCATCAGCCTGTCCAACAAGTTTAGGCACCCTTACTCTCACCATGTCTCTATCGTCTGTTTTCTTTATCGTATCATTAGTGTATAAATCACCACTCTCTTCTACATTCATGCCATCTTCCTCACCGCTGCACTGGAATGTGTCACACAATCAGCGTTCACCGTCCCAATTGGGGTACTTGACCTGCGTTCACCTGTCTTATGTCTTGTCCACAACCTTCTTCGCTCACCTAATCGTTTCTGCATTTTGCCCTCCAACCCCGCTCTAGGCATCTGTGTCACCGCGAATTACTTGATTCACGCGGAGTCTTGGCGCGCGTGTCCTCGCTATTAACTTTGATACTACCTCCACTCACCCGTCCAACTGTATTACCAGAATCAATCACACAAGCTCGAAAGTATGGCAGGCGCCACTCGGGGTCGTACGCGCAATGGTGTAGTCAAACAGCCGCTCTCGTCCAGCGAGGATACACTTGCAGCCGCGCTCATGGAAGGAAACCCTCACATACCTCTGCGAGAACCAGAGCGTCTGTCTGACCGCGACGACGTATCGCGTCTGAGTGAGGGCCTGGAACCGCTGCATTTAGTTGGTCAGGACGGTAAGCTTCGTGTTGAAAAACTGTATCTAAGTGACTGACAAAAAATCAGATACCCCGCAAACTCCCAATGCACCCACCTCTAGTGAGATTGACCTGCTTGGTATCCACGTAAAGGATGCCATAGCAACCATCAGTCGGCTAGAAGGACTGGGCCTGCAGAGGTTAGAGATCCCTTTGCCGAAGTGCATTGTTTTGGGTAAGTTGTGTCGCATGGCGTTCGGCCTTTATCTTACTAACACGATTTTCAAGGCGAGCAATCCACAGGGAAATCATCAGTAATTGAAGCAATATCAGGCATCAAGACCCCTCGCTCGACCGATACGTGCACTAGGTGCCCGCTTTTCATCAAGTTGGAGTCTGCTGAGAACGCTCGTGCCGGCTGGAGCGCGACAGTCAGTCTGCGCCGAAGCTTTGGCTATGACAGTAAAAAGAGTCGAGGACATGACGGACGATTTCCAGGATGGGTGCAAATGCCCAAGCCTAGCGATACACACTTCGCATCCACAGAAGACCCCCGCCAACTCGAAGAGCTTATCGCACGCGCTCAGACAGCGATTATAAACCCTATGATGGATTACAACGTGTTCCTCAAGGCGCCCATTAGCGCGCTTGGAGACTATCACAGCTGTGAATTCAGTCCAAACGTCGTAGTCATCGCAATCTCACGTCCCGATCTTCCTGCACTGAGCTTTTATGACTTGCCGGGCATAATTGGCCAGGCAGAGTCTCCGGAAACAGGATTCCTAGTTGATTTTGTTCACGACCTAGTGACGGACTATGTCAAGGATCCGGAGGCCCTCATCCTAGTGACTTGCTCACTAGAGAACGACATCGCGAACTCGACTGCTGGTGGAATTGCGCGGAAACTCAACGCCACAGATCGGTGTGTTGGTAAGTATAATGCCTCCTGTTATCTTCGTCGCTAACATCTCTAGGTGTGCTCACCAAACCGGACCGCTTACCGGCAGGGTCCCGCTACGAGAAGCTTAAGGCAGTGTTTGACCAACAGCGCTTCGCACTGGGACATGGATACTTCGTCGTCAAGAACCTAGACCAAGGCGAGATTAACCAAGGTCTCACCCATCAGCAGGCTCGAATACGAGAGCAGGAATTCTTCTCCAACGGAGAGCCTTGGGCGACAGACTTTAGAGACTACCGTCATTGCTTTGGTACTCTGAACCTGCAACGATTTCTTTCTGGAAAGCTCGCGGAGCAAATTACTAAGAAGCTCCCCATAATCGACCAGGAGATCAATGCCAGGCTTGAACAGGTACTCACTGATCTTCAGCAATTTCCAGATCCACCAACTCACAATGCTGCCCGGATGATTACGGACGTTGTGCTCGACTTCTCGCAACATGTCCGCAGGGAAATAGAGGCTGAGTTTCCCTGTAAGACATGGCGCAACAATTGGAAGGCGCTACAGAAGTCATTCTTCGACGCTCTGGTAAGCATGAAGCCTACCATGTCTACGCGCGGAGATCGAGATGTGACTGTCTACATGGATGTGCTCAAAGCGCAACCTGGCAGCTCGGTCAGCAAAGCCATTGCTGTTGACGATGATGATGAAGAAGGAGGAGGAGATGAAGAAGATGCTCCTCTCAGCACACCAATGAGCATTAACCCCGAAACGCCCACGAAGAAGCGAAAGCTTGAGACTCCAGGTCCCTCGCCAGCGAAGATACCCAGCCGTCGAGGTCTACCAAAATCAGCGGGTCCAGGTTCAGACCTCAGTGAATTCAGGAAGAACTTTCCTCTCGACCAGGTCACACAACACCTCGCGGAAAATTCACAAAGCAGGATACCAGGACAGATTGAGCCTCGTGTTGTTGACAATATGATGCTCAGAACACTTGAACATTGGGAAAAGCCGCTTGATAACTTCTTCAACATGCTTGAAGGTCAGATTGCTGACCAGATCAAAGTATGGTTCCACAAGCACTTCTCTAAATATGAGGGATCGACTTTCTACCGAACTGCCTGGCAGATTGTTGACCAGATGGTAAGCCTCAACTTCAACCAGCAGCGCACTACAATGGCCGACGAGAGTCTCAATGACGAGAGGGAGGGACCTTACATCTTTCATGACGAGATCTTTGAACAGGAGAAGGAAGCTGTTCTAGATTGTTACCGCCAACATCGATTTAAGGCGCGCCTCCACATCTACAAGCGTGAAAGGCACCAGCAGATAGGTAGACCAGTCACTGCGCAAGAGGAAGAGAAGTTGAAGAAGGACGCTAGGGTAATGGAGGTATTAAACCATGAGCCATACGTGGTAGAGCTCAGTGTTGTAGCGCAAGTCACAACCTACTATATGCTAGCAGCGCGCCGTTTCCACGATGCCGTCTGCATGCGCATTGAGTCCAAATTCTTCAAGCAACTACGTACGCAGCTCCGTGATGAGCTTGAGAACGGACTGGGTCTCAATGACGGCAGCGAAGGTAAGATCCTGCTCCCTGTCCCGCTAAGCATCTTACTAACACCGTATTTCAGGTTATAACAACGCCGTTCGCCTCCTTGCTGAATCACCCCAGCGCTACAACCAACGCAAGGAACTAGTCGGTCAGCGAGACTCGCTTCTACAAGGTCAAAAGATCCTCCGAGACCTACAACAGAAGTACGCTGGCGACAACACCTCCTCCACCACCTCCGTTTCCAACGCCGGCTCTAGCACTTGCTACTCGAGTGCTTCCTTGGGCGGCGGCATGAATACTCCGCTGTCTGAAGAGATGGAAGATTGCGATATGACTGGACTTCCGCGCCGCTGATAAAGGGAATACTTTTTGATCAGAATACGAAACGCGCTTCTTGCGAGGCTGGTGAGGACCGGGTATAGCATGTGGAAAGATTTGTTCATTTTATGACTATACGCAAGAATTGTTCCAAGCGAAGCGTAGTTGCATAGCGCTATTATGACAGCTGCACTTGAGTATGCAAATGTCGGTCATGAATTAGCTGTAGAGCTTACTGCTTCCTAAGAGGAATGATATGAATGTCAACTTAGTTTTCACGTCATCCTAGATTTGCTAACCCCTGACGTGCATTCTAGTTGTAGGATTTTTACTACTTTGCCAACTCTAAATGTTTTGCAGTTAAGATATCTCTTCGGCGTTGCAACAAGCGTATGTGCTTCTACTATTCTACTTTCCACAAACCTATCTGTCTCCGTTGCCTTCAGCATTGCCATCCACGTCACCCCCATTACCCTCTCCGTTCTCTTTATCATCACTGTCTCCTCCCTCTTGTTCTGCATCCCCTCCTCGCATGTCCTGTTCACGCTGCCCAGTAGTAGCCAGCTCTCCATTCCGCGCTCCTCTTCGTTGTTCTTGTAAACGTCTTAGCAAGTAGTCAGTCCTTGCCGAGTATGTACCGTTCTACCAATCTTCCGATTTCCTCCCGTGTGCCTCCTTTTATCCCAGAATAGAACGAACTGCTCCTTCATCTTCTTGTTCATAGCTTTCGTCTGTTCCGACAGCTGCTGGAATTTAAGAAGAGTTGCTAATTCCCAAGTGTCGTCGCTGACGTGTTGGAGTTTGAGCGGCCCTGTCAGCCATGTCTCTTCAGTCAGGATGTCGTGAACGTGTTCGATGTTCCAGTTTTTCCTAATGGCCGCAAGTGCTTGTGCTCGTTGATGAGCCTCAGATGAAACAGGAGCAGTGGCAGGCTCAGTGGTATCCTCACCGTCGTCTCCGCTGTCACCTCCATTGCTGCTGATATTGGTATCAGTCTGCCTGTTCTCTTGCTCTCCGTCTATACCATCAAAGCCCTCGAGCTGGCGTACTAGACGGTCTTCTTCTTGCAATGCCTGAGGTACTTCTTGATCTAGCCCATCTGCCACCCCATCTGTTGATGCCTCATCCTCGACATCTTCCTGCTCTTCTTCGTCTGATAGAGGCTCTGTCATCGTCGAGTCTTCATCCGAATCTGCGTTCATGCCCCCTACTTTCGCTGCCTCATGATCATTCTCCTCCAGATCGTCCTGGCGTGTCTCGTGGCGTTGCTTGGACTCGCGGCGTTTGTTGTTTCCGGATTTCGACATTCTAAAGTTGTTATCCTTGGTGGCTTACTTGACTGTTATAAGAGCTTAGTGGACGAGTGAATGAACGAATAACCCTTACTCCGCTCTTATAAATACACTCCCACTACCCTATCTCTTTGCATCGTTTGCAACTCAGACAAACAAGGCTCTTTGTACTACCGTTTCTTGAAGACGCTAGAAGTATTACATTGGCAGGTATTGTACCTAGTAGAATAGAAGGCAAGAGGACCGGTGTGGCGCTGCTATCAGTGTACGTATGACATGGCTGTTAGTTTTGAACAAACTACATCAGATGTGATTCCCTATCTACATCTTGGCATCTTACGACCGTCAGACGTTGTCCCATCCCATCTCGTCACTGCCATCTATCTATTCTCAGCCAAATTCCCCAGACGCCCCAAATAATCCGGAGCGAGATTAGACAATAAAACGTACCAGCAGTAAATATACATTTGAAAGATAAGAGAAAAACGGTCCAGGAGCTAAACAGGGAAGATGGAATAGAAAGAAGCGTAGTTCAGATAGTGGAAAAGCCGGGGCTTAATAACCATGCTCGCCCTGTAGCTTTCGATGACACTACCAGTTCTACCACATATCATCATCAGCCCTCTGACTCTGATCAGAATCCGAATGATTAGCATAGCCCCCTCCTCCTTTGCCCGACTGACCCAGATAATTCTGTGTGTTTGCAACGCTATATCCACCGCTGCCTCCATTCGCACTATAATTAGAATGATGAGAATCGCGAGGATTCTGGTTATATTGATTACCCTGCGACGCGCCTCTTTGATGCTGTTGGTGCTGTTGTTGCTGGTGCTGTCCATTTTGTTGCTGATGTTGTAGCGCCCCGTTCGCTTGTTGTTGATGTACGCTTGGCCATTCATTGGATTTCTCTGATTGTTGCTCATGTTGCTGCTGCTGCTGCTGCTGCTGCTGCTGCTGCTGCTGCTGCTGCTGCTGCTGCTGCTGTTGCTGGTATCTTTGTTAGCATCTCTTCCGAATAAACTTGCTTTTAACGAGGACTTACCTGCTGGTATCGCTGATACTGAGCAAACTCCTCAGGCTGCGATTGCTGTTGTTGAGCTTGTTGAGCGGCTTGCTGCTGTTGCTGCTCCTTCTTCTGCTGCGCAGCTTGTTGCTGTTGCTGAGCCTGTTGAGCTTGCTTCGCTTGTTTGGAGTTACCAATGGAGATCTGCGGGTGCATTTGTTGGACTTTCGCGAGGTATGAGTACATGAAGTTGCTCAATAAGACCTGAGAATAGAGTTCGCGACGAGGGTTCGCGAGCTTGATGTGAGCCATGCGGTATATAGCACGTTCTTCGAGGATTGAGAATCGGGTCCAGTTGTAATCGATATCGGGCTTCAAGATGCGTGGCGGGGGCTCAGGCGATAGTCCGCGTGAGGCGTTCTTCTTGTGAGACGACTCCTTCTCGCCCTTCTTCTTTCCTCCTCCGAAGATAGAGGATAGTAGTCCAGGCTCCTTCTCTTTCTTGCCTTCGCTAGACGTCTTTCTGGCGCTCTCTTTCTTCCGCTCCTCTTCTAGCTTGATACTTTCTCGATCCAACACGACGCTTTCACGACCACGACCACCACCTTGTATCGACGTTTGCAGGAGGTCCAGTCTTGTATCATCGTGACCCTTTTCCTGAGGCTTGCTGAGCTTGTTCTTGACCTTCTTGTCTTTTTCTTTCTCTGCGTCTTTTCCACCCTTTTTGTCTTTTTCTTTTTCTTTATCACCGCCAAACCAACCCCAGCTCGTCTTCCTTGGGCCGCCTTCTGAGCTGTCTTTCTTGTCTTTGGATTTCCCGTCGGACTTCTTGTCTTCTGGCGCATTTGGGATAATGGACAACGAGTCTACTCTGTTGTTCTGGCCAGGCATCGCGGAAGGCTGGGCTACTAAATCATCAAAAGATTGCGCGGGCTTGATAGGGGAGTTCTGGGCGGCTTGTGCATGGCGATTTGGGCGACCTGCTTGAGGCTGAGGCTGGCGCTGTTGTTGCGGAGGCTGCTGCTGAGGCTGAGGATAATGACGGGGACCAGCAGGCTGTTGCTGGGATTGAGGCGGTGGCTGGCGGGAAGAGTGACGTTCCGGTAGCGTAAACTGAGGTGTCCTGTTCTGCTCCTGTGGCGGTGGTGTCTCGATGATTTGGGGTACCTGCTGTGGTGGAGGGGTATAGCCGGGCAAAGGTGCTGTCGTTCGACCGTTCGAGGCGATCCTCGAATGGAACTGCCGAGGCTGAGGCGAAGTTCGGTCCTGTGTCATAGGCTCAGTAGAAGCTGACCTGGGATGTTCCTCCGATGAGCCGGGTCTTTCTCCACCATAGCTGGGAGATGCTCGATTTGCTTGTGGCCGCGAGAAGTTGTTGGACGATCCCTCGAATGCGCCATTGACGGGTTCAGACTGAACGCGCGCAAGTCCTGGGAGAGGCGGGACTTCAGGTATGCTTTCAGTAGAATGTACAGGGGAGGTAGACGGCGAGTCTTCTGTATCAGTTTCTGCCTGTCGGCCAGAGACAAGCCGACGTGAGAGGGCCGGACCACCTTTGCGTAGACTGCCTCGCCTATAAGTAGTATGTGTTGACCTCTTCAGCGTCCCCAAACCACGCATTTTACTGCCTGGTACGATTGGCATCCCATCTACACCCTCCTCCCCTTCTCCAGCAATAGCCTTGTGGTCGATGCTCATACGTCTTATCAAGGCCACCGGGTCCTCCTGTATGTGCTCGAGCTCTTGAAGATTGGACAGGCCGCCGCTGGACTGCGTACCGGAGCGTTTCCGTTCCAGCCTCTCAGCACCATCTTTGTAGCCACTACCGGTATCGATTTGCCTGGAAAGCATAGACTTCTTGCGCCGTAAACCTCCACCTGAGCCCTGACGTCCCATGGCACCGTCGGGCGATAGTGAATCCGAGTCTCCTGAACGTCGTCTCGTCCTGTCGATCTTGTCCTCGATAAAAGTCTTGAATTCCATAGGGGCTAGTTCGGGGTGCAAACGTGCGGGCACCCAGAACAGTTTTGATTCATCTTCCTCAGACACGGCGGGAGGAGAGGGCGGTGAGTTGGCGGATTGGAACGAAGGTAGATCAGGATCGGCATTGTTAACGCCCATTGACATCCTCCGTATGGCCTGCAGGTTGCTCAATTCCTGGGCAAGACCTGCAGGGCTGTTTTCGTAGTCGAGGTTGTTGAGCGGGAACTGGTGCGACGCCGTGTTGGAGTTTGAGCGAGACAGCGGAGGGGATATCTCGCCGCCATTTGAGGGGTTTCGGCCGATAGAAGCCCGCTTCTGGGGCATGTTGGTGCTGCCATTTGGGCTCGTCGGCGTTGCTGGCTTCTCGAAGGACAGCTGGGGACGCAGCGGGGATCTTGCGGGCGGAGCGCTGGGGAAGGGGTCAAAGGCCTCGAAGGCGCCAAAGGACTGGATCGAGTCGCCGTTGGGGCTGGGAATGAAGCTTAGGGGTCGCAGGCTGCGTCGGTTCGACTCGGTGTCGCTATCTCCGCCGTACATGTCACCTATGGCCTCTGTGACGTGGTGGCTGTCATCGCTGATGGATATCTGCGGCGCATGCCCCCGACGGGGAGGGTTTCGCATTTGATATAGCCGGTCTAGCTCTCGTGCTCGGTCGGTTGCCTGTGGGGTACGAGACTTGGTCAGCTTGGGGGCTCCTTGGAGGTTGGGTTGGCGCCGCGGGCGTTTGCCGGGAGAATGCCGCAGAGAAACCAAACAATGGTGGTTCCCTGGCAGTCTTCCTACTCCCACCCAGTATGCGCCTGCACGCGGGCTTCAGGACATGCGCGAGGCCAACTCACCATTTGCGAGGAATGCGGAGGTGCGGGTTGGCACAATTGCCACGGCTTGCTTAGGGCGCCGAGGCTCGTGGATCATCCAAGGGCGGGCGGCTGGCGGGCGAGAGGGCTTTGACATGCAGCGTAGGATTAACAATGAAAGCGACCATTACAACAGGAAGAGAGAATGCGTAGAGGTGCTGCTTGACAACTGCAAGCACCGTGTCTAGGGACTAACGCGGAACCTCACTAGCCTCAAGTCAGCCCGAGAGGACGCACGAGTCGGGCGCGACCAGCACTCCGCCACAAAAAGGGAGCATCACCATTGGAACATGTGTTTCTGAGCCCAGCAGCCGCCCTCATCCAAACTGCTTGGACCACCATGCCACTTTAACCCGCCCTGTTGAGTTGGGAACATGTACATCAGGGTCTGGTCAAAAAAGAAGAATGGACCGTTTCAACGTTCTACGACAAAAACAATCCCTACACCAGCGTCCTCAGGCTTCTTGCAGCAAGCAAGCAAGCAGGCAGGCAAGCAAATGCCCAGGTTGCAACTACCCGCGATACCATGCGTGGCGACAGACAATAATAGCCGTCTCAGACTACTCGCAGATCCCCGGGGTATTGTCAGGCTACCAGCCTATGTAACTTGTAGCAGAGAGCTCCTAGCCCACACCATTGTCAAGCGAGCTGTCACTATACACATCGCCTCCGACACTACTTACCCACCATCGTGATCCTATGCTAATTCACCGATATCATCTATCCACATATGGCCGCCTAACCCGCCAGGCCGTAGCGCCAGGGGTAAATGTCCCTGCGTCTATTCATTCGCTCGTGCCACTGAGACTTGTCTGCTGTACAACGCAGCCGCCGCACGCCAAGGTGATGTCATGCTTAAGCGCTGACCCTCCGCCATTATCGTGAATATCGCATTGCCATCATTTCCGAGAAGGGTGTGTTTTTGAATTGCGACAAGTCTAGTTAGGGGTAGAAGTGGTGTGCTGCCATGGTATATACAAGAAGCAAACAATTCAAATTCATGCCTTGGCCCCTAGCCTCAGGAGGACGCGCTGCTGCGTCTCCAGACGAACATGGCGCAACCTACTGCACAGGTAACGGCACCGAGCGCTAAGTAAAGGTTGAGATAGTCATATTCGTCTTCTTCCTGTTTGGGAAAAGCCGTCGATGGATAGGTAGCGCTTTCGGCTAGC